TTTGTTTTTCATTATAATATATAAAGTAGACAAATGAAAAACAAAGTCACAATGTTCCCATCATAATTTTTCAAAAGTAGAACACTTGAGCACGTTCACATTATGATATAAAAGAATTCTCAAAACTTCCTTTTTTTTATTTATTAGATTATATATTACCTACACAAAAGTAAAAAAAATACAGAATTATTATAATAATCTAATGTCGAATATTATTGACACAATCAATTATTTAAATCAAGTAACAACTATACTTGTAGTAACAATCTGTTTAGCAAGTTTTATACCAGGTGTTATTGGTCTTCTATTAAATCTCATTGTTTTTACTCGACCAAGTTTACGTCATGAACCATGTGCATTTTATTTTTTTTCATCAACATGTTTAAATTTATTTATCATTTTAATTATCGTACCTGTACGTATTCTTTCAAATGGTTTTAATACCGATCTAGCTGATCGTAATCTTGGTATATGTAAATTAGAATATTATACATTCGTTATCGTACGTGCTACATCTTGTTAGTTAATTGTATTAGCATGTATCGACCGATATTTACATAGTTCATCAAATGCTCGTATGTGTCGATTAAGTTCATTAAAAATAGCACGATTAGCTGTTGGATCTATCTGTATATTTTCCATTATTTCATATGTTCATATGATTATATATTATGAAATAGGAAATACAACGAATCAATTTGGTGTCATTATTCCAAAATGTAATGCACGAAAAGGTTTTTATCGTACTTTCAATGCATTATGGTAAATGATTATGTATTCATTATGTCCATCTTTATTAATGATTTTATTTGGTTGTCTTACATTAAATAATATTCATCAACGGCGTCGAGTATTACCCATTATAGGTGAAAATAATCGAGCTACTCGACGTACAGATAGTCAATTATTACGTATGTTAACTGCTCAAGTTCTTTGCATTGTAATTTCAACGTTACTATCTTCTGTTGAAAGACTCTATTTATCAATCACAGAAAATATTGTTAAAGATTCAATTCGAGTTGCTCAAGAAAATTTAGCTACTCAAACGGTAAATGCAATGACATATTTTGCTCATTCAACTACTTTCTATTTGTATACACTAACTGGTGCCGTTTTTCGCAAGGAAGTTTTCAAAATTTTCCATCGCTGTTTTCGTCAAAAGCACAAGAATCCAGTGAATATATCAAATGATAGCAATAAAAGAATAATCTTGGAAAAGCAACAACGTAATATTAATGCGACTAGTGATATTAATAAACCATAAAAATACTATATACAAGTCATAACTAAAAACTTTTTATTATTAAAAAATAAAAAAATACGTTTATATGTAAGTAAATAATGCAAATATGTTCTTATGACTTACGAGGGAACCACCCGAGGTGTAAAAAAGCTTTTGAGCTTAAATTCCACCCATATGTAGAGAATATATAGACTAGAAAAAGCCTAAGAGTATATGTGCGCAAGTTGAGGTTTAGATGAGATGTCGATTTTTTACAAGAATTTTCCTATGGTATCACATTATCACCATAAAATCAAAGTTTTGTATTTTGATGTGAGCCTGTTAGCATAAACACAGTTTTTTGCGGATATTTTTGTATGCATGGACATTTTAAAAACATTATATCTCAGGAATGCTCAGTTCAAAAATTGTGAAACTTTGTGAATGAGCTCAGTTTCACATCAAAATACAAAACTTTGATTTTATGTTGAAAGTATGATCTCATAGAAAAATTCTTGTAAAAAATCGACATCTCATCTAAATCTCAAATTGCGCACTTATCCTCTTAGGCCTTTTCTAGTCTATATATTCTCTACATATGGGCAGAATTTAATCTCAAAAGCTTTTTGATACCTCGGGTGGTTCCCTCGTTAGTCACTTAATATGGACAGAAATTATAGCTTATCAAATAAGCACATTAAAAATCCATTGTTTGATGTTGTTATGTATGTGAATTTTCATTGTTATTCATTGATATCGTCGATTGAAAGTGTCAGTTTGTATCTAATTATTTTGTGTTCGATGTTTCATGTTGTTCTTTGATCAATGTAATATATTTATCAAATAAACGAATTCAGTTAAATAATTGCAATTTTGGATTGACCGACATTTACGCGCATGACACTTACGCGCGAATTGAGGAAAAGATGATAAACTATTTTTCTCTTAAATTTGATTTGGATTATGAACGAGCGGAAATTTATGCTTAGCTGCTGATAAAAAAATTGTTCTCAAAAATTTCAAAAAATGTATTGATATAAATAAACAAATACGCTAAGTGAATAATAATTGAGAGTAAAGAATGTAGTCGTTTAGAAATTAAACACTAATCTGACTATTTTAAAATAGTCGTTTCTAGAAACAGTATGGAATTTTTTGACCATGTTTCGTATTTGAAGATCAATTTTTTCATATTTTGTGCGTTGGTCTTTGCCTTTGACTGATTTTATAAGAGACATATATATACTTTCTCTTTATACTTCTATCTGATTTACTTTGTTTAGTTTTAATCTCATTTTGATGCAAAAAGCAAGTTTGATGTTAAAATTAGATTATCTTTTGATTCTTATTAATATCTTCTATGTATTTTCTTAATAAATCATTCTCACTAACAGAACGAAAAGAATTTTTTTGCGCGCAAGTGTCGCGCGTATTATACTAACCAAGTGTTTCTTTGGAAAAAAACAATGTAATAAAATTGATTTAGTTATTATAATATTTAGAGCGAAATTTGTTTCTTCATGCTCAATTTTTATTATAGAAGTGAACAAATAAAAGGTTATTTAATAATTTTCTGGACATTGAAAATAGATTAAACTATGAAATATAGTTTTTACAAAACATTGTAGAATAGTCAAGAATATTTCTCCAAAAATTTGCATTTCATTTGAATTAAATAATATATATATTATCGAACTCTAGGGTTACATATAACAATGATATATAAAACAGGATTTATATCGTTGTATTATGTTCCATAGAAATCTTCTTGATGTCAAACAAATATTCATCATATAATGAATGTATCCTAACCAAAGCTGATCTGTTTTGGAAAGTTTTGCGTCTACATGATATCAGATGAAAGTTATGTCGTAGCTTTAGAAGTACAGAAATCTGCTAGTTTTCCCTTGTAATTAATGTATCATATCATTTTATCTGATCCGTAAGTTTGAGACAGCTCTATTTCATCTTCTGTATTAGACTAGCATGAAGGTGTCATTTGACTGATGAAGAATATAATCGAAAATTAATTAATAAAGAAACAGAAATCTCTCAACCAAGAAAAAACATAAACTATTCTTATTGTGTATTATCAGTGCAATGTCATCGTCATCTATTACAATCAATAATATCAAGCAAAGTACAATCATATCTACTCAAGTCTTTGGCATTAGCCTCTTCATCATCGGTGTAATTGGTCATACTTTGAGTATTTATGTTTTTACACGTCGTATATTTCGTTCAAATCCATGTGTATGCTATTTTTTGGCATCAACAGTATCTGGGTGTGTTGTTGTTTATATAAATATTCCACTTAAATTACTTCAAGTTGGCTATAATATTGATGTATTCACATATTCAGTTGCAATGTGTCAATCTCTAACGTATATCTTAAACAGTGTTCGGTAAAGCAAATCTTCATAAGAGATGATAAAGAGAAATAATATTTCATGTTTCTTTTAAGAGTATTACCATCTTGGTTCATCGCTCTAGCTTCAATTGATCGGTATTTGTTTTTCATTAATCTATGATCAATTAATTTCTTTTTTATAGGTTTCTTTGCAGCTCATCATCTGTTACGCTTCGTGGATGGAGTAGTATGCGTATAGCTTATCGTGCTATTCCATGTACCGTTCTGTTCATTGGTATTGCGTTCATTCATGTACCCTTCTATAATACAATTTTGCTACCTCAACGATCATGTAGTATTGCATCGACTGCCTATCGAAGTTTTTTTGGTATATGGAACTTAGTTTTTTGGAGTTGGATACCAACTATATGTATGCTTGTTTTTGGCTTGCTTACTATTCGACATATTCGACAAGGAAGCAGAAGAATAGTACCACAAAATACTGGAAATCTGCGTCAACGAGATCAAAAGAAAATAAATCGACAATTATTTCAAATGTTAATGATTCAATCTTTTGTATTTGGCGCGACAACAACGATTCTTTCCATAGGTAACCTGTACGTTTCAATAACAAGTAATTTAATAGTGAAAAATGATGTAGATAAAGCTAACGACACTCTTCTCGCAACGATTGTAAATTGGATCGCTACTATTGGCCCATGTACTAATTTCTACTTGTTCGTATTGTCAAGTCAATCGTTTCGTGGTGAAGTAATTAAATTATTTCTTCGACTACGACCGACACCAACAGCTAATACAATAACTGCAAGTTATATACCACAGACAAGATATTGACTTGATTTATCCATGACAAATTCAAAACATTTGAACATCTATATCTAGTCACATCCTCATAGTTTCATATAAAATCACCTAATCAAGTGACAAAATTTCATGACATTAGTGTAAGAACGCGAGTACCTAGTTTTAGATATCAATTTTCGCATCTATTCAGTCTCTTCTGAAATTACAACCAATTTAAGTACATTAATATTTTCGTAATATTAAATAACTTCCATAGATTTAAACACTCATTTTTATCAGAAACAATTTTTAAATATTTACTCATTGATGAAATCATAAGTAAATAACAAATTCAATTGAAGATTTATGTCGTAGTAAATCAAATATAGAATTATACTGAAATATATTGAAAAGATTATTTATATCGTTTCTGCTATTAATAGTTTAATATTTTCAAAATAATATGCAGCGTGTGTTCATACTTGACGATTGATTCATTGTGAGAATTTAACATGTTTCATGTTTAAAATCAAAAATTAACTTTGTAAAACTTTTAGTAATTACTTTCAGAAACATACTTAGGGAAAAGGATATTCATAATGTTAGTTTATTTGAAACAATTAGTATACTTGTTTAGATGTGAGTGTGAATATTATATTCATCACTGATCTCCACCCACACTCACACTCTCAAGCATACATTTATATACCTATCCATTAGAAAGAAAGAGATATTAAAGACAAAGTATGATATGATTTATGGAATAAGGATAATACAACAAATAAGAAGGAATTATAAGAGCAGAACAAATATCGTTACAATGGTTGATATAACTCAGCACTCTTTAGATAAATCTCATTTTGATCATCGCCACCAACAACCAAAATTTTTCCATTCGCTAAGATAGATGCTGTGTGACGAAATCGTCCATTAGTCATATTATTCATGTTACCAATTATTGTCCAATTACCTGTTGCTGGATTAAATAATTCGGCCGTATTTCCACAAGTAACGTGACATCCACCAGTGACTAATACATTTCCATTTGTTAGTACAGATGCTGTATGATAGTATCGTGGCTTATTCAGGTAACCACTAAGGAGTGTCCAATTACCTGTTGATGGATCATACAATTCAGCAGTAGATCCAGCGGTATTAGCATTAATTGCACCAGATACTAATACTGTTCCGTTTGCTAAGACCACTGCTTTATGCCACTGTCGTTCATAATGCATGCTACCAGTAAGTGTCCAATTACCTGTCGATGGATCATACAACTCAGCACTATTCCCATGAGAACCACCAGTAACTAATATGTTTCTATTTGTTAGAATGGATACTGTATGAGACTCTCGTGCACGTTTCATGTCACCAGTTTTTGTCCAATTGCCTGTTGATGGATCATACAACTCAGCACTATATGGAGTATCACGATCACCATATCCACCAGCAACCAAGACTTTTCCATTTTTTAACACTGCTGCTATGTGGCTATCTCGTGGATGATTCAGGCTACCAGTAATTATCCAATTACCTGTTGCTGGATCATATAATTCACTACTATTTATCCAAGAACTATGAGTAGATCCACCGGCAACTAACACTTTCCCATCTGTCAATACAGATGCTGTGTGACGATACCGTTCTAGATGCATATTACCAGTAGTTGTCCAAGTTTGTGTTGCTGGATCATACAGTTCACAACTAGCCAGAGTTACATTAATATTGTATCCACCCGTCACTAATACTTTTCCATCTGTTAAGACGGATGCTGTATGATAACTTCGTGCAGCATTCATATGACCAGTATCAGACCATCCTACAAGGAAGCATTCGAAAATGTATTTATTCTGTAAATATTTTGTACTATGGAATCCTCAAGAGTATGTAATAACCAGCAAAATATTTTAGATTTTTAAAATGAAGGTTTTTACTTAATTTTCATTATACGATTCTTTGAATTTTTCTAGAGATCACAGAAGTTAGTGTAAGTGAAATCAGTGATGAATGAAATATCCACACTCACCTCATTGCACAGTAGCATTTTGAAAGGTTAAGAAAGATTTCTTTAAAGCCTACCTGGCCCTTGAGTAGTAGTGGTCGTAGTTGTTGTTGACGTTGAAGTCGATGTCGTTGTTGTTATTGCTGATGTTGTCGTAGTAGTAGTGGAGGTTTCTACCTTGGCAGGTGTAAAAACGATGAATTTCAATACTAATGAGAGGGTCACTACAAAAATTGTTAAAAGAATAAAAGCGATGCAGATGATCTTAGTCGGACGATGACGCCACCATTTTTGTCGTTGTTTATTTTCAAGGAGAAGCTTGCTTTCACTCGGATTGTTGAGCATTTTGTGCTCTACGAGAGTTGTAAACTAAAATAATAATGAGGTATTGTATAAGACTACTTTATATTTGTCGGTTCTCTTTGAGGAGCACGAAAAGATAAATAATATTATCTCCAACACCACAAACAATGCTATACTCTTATCTTTAAATAATAAATTTTATATAAAAGTATAATAGCACATAAAACAATGTTCTACTTCGTCGTCTTACTATGATCGTTTTTGTGTGCTTAAAAAGTGAATATACTATAGATTCTGTAAATATGTCGGTAGGTGTTGGTATAACAGAAATAACATCCACAGCCACCCTTCTAAGTTATTTACTACTATTGAAATGAATAAACAAAGCTGTAGCTAATAATTGTCGATCTTCATCAATCAAGGCAAATAAACGTAAGTGTTTAGGTTTGTTTTTATATTTTTCTTTACAAGTCTTTGTTTGTTGTCTGTTTATATAAAAGTATCTGTATTTATTTTATATTTCAATATAAATATACCAACAAACAATGAGATGAAGTATACGAACAAAATTTTTATGTGATATTTTCATTGAATATGTTGAGTGATATACATCAAAGTTTCACGTATATTTAACCGTTTATTACGTGAGAAATATTTTTAATTATTTTCTGAACTGAAAATCTCATGTCACAAAAATGAATGTATTAAAAAAAGTAATTCAATGGCCCACTCTTAAAATTGAGTTCATTTTTTCCAAATAATTAAATTGAATATGAGAAATTAACTACTGTTCTAGCTAGACTTGTTTACCTTATTCTAGCTGTGCACAGCTGATACGAAATTTAGTACAATTTAAACCTTACACAATCAAGGTATGTAATATTCATAGAAAGAGTTTTTCTCTCATTTTCAATTCTTTTAAATATAAATTCTATGTTAAATAAAGCTTTTTCTTTTCTTCTATTTAATGTCATAAAAGGCTTAACAAAGTATTGTCCTTTCCATTTTTTTTCCTTGATTATATTGCTCACTCATATATTTAGTTTGAAAGCATTCAGGACTAAATTATCATTTTGACTCGATAAACTTGTAGACAAAAAAAATATAGTCAGTAGTATTAATGAATACTGTCATTTTCAGTGAAATACCTCACCCATAAATTAAACGTAATGTAACTGTATTATTTTCACAGTGCTAAAAATCACAAGTTAGCCATGAATATTCTTATACTTGTAAAAAGTCATTTTATCGAGAAAAAATGAGTATTACCATTTCGGCTTCAACAAACGAGCTGATCTTTTGTTGCCAATGATAGAGGTATCTTCAAGGTTTATATTGATAAGAATAAATCTAAAGAGACCCTTTGTTAAACATCACCAGTATTCTCAATAAAATTTTTTATTTATTTATAGATAAGGAAAAAGAATAATATACTTAACAAACACATCCCTATCACTAATAAAAAAAGTCAACTCGCTTGCTCAAACCACAAAAGAAATATTCAATCTTTTTCTCGGCAAATTGACTTCTCGCCCACTCTATTTGTAACATTCGCTAGATGAAAGAAAAGCTTTTATTGTATACGGCCTAGATTATATCAAATTTTTTATCGACTTTTTACCCCTAGTATCAGATGAAAAAGTCCAATTAGAACAGTCGTCAATTCCTAATAATAAATTTTAAGAGTAGGCCGATTTCAAGACTTAATGACTCTCTTATGCTAATTTCCATTTCTATCCCATAATGAATGTTATCATAGATTAATTGTCACGTTTCGCTGACTAAATTAGCATATAACAGTTTTTATTCTTAATGATCAAATCAATGGAATTGTTCAAGAAGAAGAAAATATTTGTAGTTAACATATCACTATCCACATAACGTAATCTCCAGTTAATTACGCTTGATGACTTATTCATTATGCATTTGAATGTAATTTCTGATATAGTTTGTATCTCGTAAAATATAAAGAGATCTCAGAAATGCACTGTATATCCTGGCGTGCTAAACTCCATTTTTTTCGACATAATTTTCTAAAACCTCTTCTCTAATCAGTAGAAATGTTAAAAATAGCAACTTGTTAAATAAAGTATGTCTCCCGGTGACTTTCTTTTTCTTGAGCTTCAATAAATTGGTATAAAAGTAATGTTACTTTTTATATTCTAACGAACACAGTTACTTTTTTGTTTGAACATCATCATGTCTTCGTCAGCAGCAAGTATTTTAATCCAATCAATAGAGACATATTTATGTCGATTTGTTGGTCCAGTTTTACTCTTCATTGGTACGATCGGCTGTCTATTGAATTTAACTACATTCTTTCAAAAAACTCTTCGACGAAATCCATGTGCAAATTATTTTATTGCATATAATACTGCTAATATACTGTATATCTATTTTGCACTATTATTCTTAATAGTAAGTTTAGGATATCAAATTGATCCAACTACATCTAGTTTAGTCCTCTGCCGGTTACGTCTTTATACCGCACTTTTATTTCATAGTTTAAGTCAGTTTTATTTAATTCTGGCTTCTGTTGATCGAGTATTAATCACTTCGCATCATGCACTAACAAGACGTAGAAGTACTCATCGTCTTGCTTTTATCTCTATTATTATTGGAACAATATTCTTGATCATATTTCATAGTCATGCTCTGATTTTTCCCAATATTATACAAATCATTCCTCATGTTTTTATTTGTAATTTTGAACAGAGTTGGGAAGGTGCCTTTATCAATTATTATACTATCTTCAAAGAGACTCTATTACTTTTATTAATGATTATCTTTGGATTAAAATCAATTCATAATATTCGAAATATTCAGCATGCTAGAGTTGCTCCTGAAGAATCAACTAGAGCAACTATTGTGGACAGAAATACTCATTCTACTTCTTCGAAAGATCGACAATTAGTTTTAATCTTAATTGGTGATATTACAATGTATGCTTTATTTAGTTTCATCTTTGCCATATATCTCATCTATATGCAAATTACAATAAATGTTGTTAAAACTCCTGATCGTACACAAATTGAGAATAATCTAAGAAATGTTTGTTTATTTCTTCTAAATATTCCATGTTGTATTAGTTTTTATCTAAATTTTATCATATCAAAATCATTTCGTAGTGAAGTTAAAAAAATAATTGTACGAAATTGATTATTTTTTTTTCAATAAATACTTACAAAATGAATTATTAGACTTTATACATTTTTATTTGTTAGCTGATATTTATAGTCCGTCCGTTTGAATGAAATACACCGTGAGAGTACATTCTATTCCACGCACGAAATCAATTCCGGAATTACACACCAACCTCATCCTGATGTGTTGTGTTTGAATATTGTTCGATTTGAAGTCGATCTGATATCTATTGATTCCGAAATTGTGGGTACTGAGGGAATTCAGTCAAAATCGAGTTTGCGGAATTGGTGGGAACTGATTTCGGCAATGTTCAACATTATGGAGTAGAATGTTCGCTTCTAATGAAATTAGATAAAATGAAAAAGGATAGATAAATTCAAAAAATTATTTTTATTCGGTTTTCTTAAATTTTATCTTTCACAATAATAATTCGATTACTAAAATATTTTCTCCGAATATGAAATTGCAAGTCTTGAGGGTAAAGATATGGAAATTTAATTCATCACTCACATCCACATCTGCACCCGATAAAGTGATTTTTCATCCACTTTGTATATAACATTCATTAGATGGAAGAAAAGGCTTTTGTTTAGCATAGAATTGGTATTTGAACGAATTGAAGATGAAAGAGAAACGATTTCTATTAACACTAAATACCTTGATTGTATAAGGCCTAGATTATATCAAAACTTTTTACCCCTAATATAAGGTGAAAAATTATAATTAGAACAGAAGTCAACTCCTCATATTTAATTTGGTTATTAGGAAAAAATAAACTCAATTTTAAGAGTGAGCCGATTTCAGTGCTTAACGACTTCTTCTTATCCTAATTTCCGTTTCTACCTCACAATGAATCTGATCTTAGATTAATTGTCACGTTTCGCTGACTAAACTAGTATGTAACACATTTTTATTCTTAATGATCAAATAACTTAGACTGTTCAACTAGAAAATATTTGTAGTTATTATATTTTCATCCACAAAATCTAATCTCGAGATACTCAAGCGTGATAACTTATACATTATACATTTGAATGTAATTTCTGATATTTGTTGTATCTTCTGAAACAGAAAAAGATCTCAGAAATATTCTGCACATCCTACTGTGCTAAGCTCTGTTTTTTTTGACATAATCTTTTAAAACCCCTTCTTTGATAATAAGAAATGTTAAAAATAGCAGCTTGTTAGCTAAATGATGACTCCTGGTGTGTCTCTTTCTTCAGGTCAATAATTTCATATAAAGGTAATGTTACTTTTATATTCTACCGAACACTGTAAAATTTCTTTTCAGTTTGAACATCATCATGTCTTCACCATCTCCATCAGCATCAAGTATTTTAGTCTCACAAATGCTGACATATTCATGTCGATTCGCTGGTCCCGTTTTACTTTTCATTGGTACGATTGGTTGTTCATTGAATTTAACTGTGTTCTGTCAAAAAACTCTTCGACGAAGCCCATGCGCAAACTATTTTATTGCATATAATACTGCTAATATACTATATATCTATTGTGGATTATTATTCTTAACAATAAGTTTAGGATATCAGATTGACCGAACTACATCGAGTTTAGTCCTCTGTCGGTTACATCTTTATACCGCACTTTTATTTCATAGTTTAAGTCAATTTTATTTAATTCTGGCTTCTGTTGATCGAGTATTAATCACTTCACATCATGCTCTCACAAGACGTAGAAGTACTCATTATCTTGCTCGTATTTCTATTGTTATTGGAACGATATTCTTGATCATATTTCATAGTCATGCTTTGATTTTTCCTAATATTATACAAATCATTCCTCATGTTTTTATTTGTAATTTTGAACAGAGTTGGGAAGGTGCCTTTATCAATTATTATACTATCTTTAAAGAGACTCTATTACTTTTATTAATGATTATCTTTGGATTAAAATCAATTCATAATATTCGAAATATTCAGCATGCTAGAGTTGCTCCTGAAGAATCAACTAGAGCAACTATTGTGGACAGAAATATTCATTCTACTTCTTCAAAAGATCGACAATTAGTTTTAATCTTAATTGGTGATATTACAATGTATGCTTTATTTAGTTTCATCTTTGCCATATATCTCATCTATATGCAAATTACAACAAATACTGTTAAAACTTTTGATCGTACACAAATTGAGAATAATCTAAGAAATGTTTGTTTATTTCTTCTAAATATTCCATGTTGTATCAGTTTTTATCTAAATTTTATTATATCAAAATCATTTCGTAGTGAAGTTAAAAAAATATTTATACGAAACTAATTATTTTTCTTTCAATAAATACTTACAAAATGAATAATTAGATTTTATACATTTTTATTTGTTAGCTGATACTTATAGTCAGTTCATTTGAATGGAATACATCCTATTCCGCACACAAAATCAATTCCAAATGAGTTTTATATTTTTTATTAAAAATAATTATTCTTTTTTTTTCTACATGTAAACAAATAATGTTAAATAATTAATGGTTGATATTCAAGTACAAGATGAATTTTTCCATGTGATGATTTACCATATGTAGCCGGTAAATCATACCATTTATCACTATTATCTAAGAAAAATAAATAAATATTTGGTTTTTTTTGAATATAAAAAAAAATACATTTTACGAATAAATCTCGTAAATCAATTTCTAATGAACCAATTTTATCATGTCTTATTGTATCTTTATCACAAACATCAACGAATAAAATATCTTGTCCGTTTAAAACATTACTAAATAAAACAAAATAATAACAAAGAAAGAAATATTGAATAAAATCTTACAGAACAAATGTTTCATTCCAATGAGGATTTTTTGTATTATGTTTTACTTTTGTTGTATATTTGTTATTTTTATTATCAAGATAAATTTGAACAAATGGATCACTTTCACTAAATAAATCTTTTTTCTTTAAATTAATTGCTTCCACTATTGTTACTTGAAGTTGAGCCATTTTACTTTTAATATATTATTCACATATACAAGGACTCATCTATTTCTATTGTCATATTAATCATGAGAGAAAAAATAGAAACGCACATGGTCTTTCGTATGTATAGCGTATTGTCATCAACTATATCGATGATCAATGATATATAAACAAAATGTAAATATATCGGTTAAGCTTCGATGATTTACATATCTAATAATAGTCTTTTCTTGTTTAAGAAAAACGATAATAACATGTTCTACTATTGTTTATTATTCAATCCATAACTTCATTAAAGAATATACAAAGAGACTCGAAAACAACTGATACTGTACTATGTTCATAATCGTCTGCATTCTATAATCAGAAAAATGAAATTTGTCATTCACATGAACAAATATATGCGAGTAGATCATTGTATATTCAATACTCAAAATGTATAAAATAGTTTCAGATAAAAGTCTGAGATAGAGATACAGAATATTAATTTTCTTGAGATTCTCATATTTTAAATGAAATTATATCTGATTATATTTAAAAGTTTTATTCTCAGATAATAAAAATACATCGATTGTGCTTCTTACAAATAATTCGTCGATTATAATAAAAAGTAAAATATGGACTAATGGATTGATTCTTATGGAAAGTAAAAAAATTTTTTGATTAAATTATAAATTATTTTGTAAAAAGTACATTGAAATAGCAGACTCATTCATTAAGTAAGTGGATGCAAAAATAAAAAGTACATTTAAAAATAAATTTCATCATGAGACAACATGTGCTAATTATTAATATATAAAAAATATTTGATCCTTTGAAAAAATAAAAGTACATTATATTTGATTAAGAATTTTTTAATTTAATCATCAAAATAAATTTGAATTATTTCTAGTTTATTGATATTCTTATTAAATTTAAATAAATCATTTTAAAAAAGATAAAATAAAAATAAAATAGTTAATAAAATATTCGATCGAACTAAAAGAAAAAGAATTATTTAAAAAAAAATAAATTATTTTTTTTCTTTTTTACTTTTAATTGATGATGATCCTTCTGTTGTTGCTGTTGTTGTTGTTGATTGCTAAAATCAAACAATAAAATATTATTTAGAAAAAAAAGAATTAAACATACAGTTAATGTTGATGTTGAAGGAGTAGTAAGACTTGCTGTAGATGTAGCCATTTGATTCGTTGTTGATGCACTGGTGGAAGGACTTGTTGTGGATGTACTGATAGAAGTATTCGTTATGGGAGGTCTTGTTGTTGTTGTAGTACTGGTTAATAAACTACTTGTTGTGGTAGATGTTCCGGTAGTAATTGTTGTGTTTGATGGTAAACTACTTGTTACATTTGAAACGGTTGTACTGGTTAATGAACTAGTTGTTGTAGAAAGTGTTACTGTTGTATTGGGTGATAAACTACTCGCTGTAGTAGATGAACTTATTGTACTTAATGTTGATGTCTAAGTTTAAAGAAAATAAATTAATTTTACATTAAATTTTGATTAGAAATTTACGGGAGTTATAGTTGTAGTAATCGTTGTGGTAGTATTGTCAGGTTCTAAAGAATAGTTTAATAAAATAATAAAAAGAAAGAAAAAATTATTTTTACCACATTCGATATCAACAATAGTTAGTTGATCAATAGCAATAAAATATGGCAATAAATCAGATGAAGAGTTACGGTTGAATCCGAAGTATATCTAAAGAAAATGCGCTTTTTTTATGTTGACGAAAATAATAATTACATTAGGTTTATCATTATTGACATTAAAATTTTGTCTTATTTCATGCCATCTATTTTGAAGACGTTGAGATGCTGTAAGAATTGTTTGATTTGTATTTGCTAAAGTATCTTCAATTATAACTTGAATATTTCCATTTGAATTTGTATCCGATAAATAATAAAAAAATCGAATGCAATGTTCACCTTCTTCAAGATCACGATTCATATCAAGTTTATGTAAACGCGATCCAGTTTCTCCTCCTTCGAATCTTTCATATCCATATTCACCTTCGCTACAATTCATTCTTGGACCTGTTGAATTGAAAATTGGGCATGTTGCAGGAAGATTCGGATCAGTTTTTTCGCAAAAGAACATGTCAAATGAATTTAACTGAAAAGGAAAATAACATTCTTCTCCATCTTCATGTGATGTTCCTAGAAATCGAAATTTCATGAAATATAATAAATAAATAACTAAAAATATTTTACTAATGGCAGTAATATCTGAAGCTGGTTGTCGTGGTTCTCCACTGGTTTCATTTAATAAAACATATGAACTTGATTGTAAACCCGAAAGGCATTTTTCTCCATAATCAAAATCACATTCAATTACTTGTTGACTATTTATTGAAAGAGTAAAAAAAATTAACAATCCGATGGATATCATGTCTTCAACCGAATGAAAAGTTATAATGTCATAAAGATAGTTTTCTCCTTTTTATTTTTTTTAATCAGTATCCGTCCATTAAATCATAAAAGAATCTTGAATCCGCCTACAACTTTGATAAGATCAATAAAATAACTACGTCTTTTTAGTTTTTAGATGCAAAGAGTACTTTTTCGATGATATTCAACAATAAAAAACAACAACGTCAATATTTTCATCGACGAAAAGATTCTTCATATAATCTCAGTTACTAGAAAAGCACAATAGATGCAACGTATTGAATTTCTTTTGTAATATTAAATAAAGAAATTAATTGTGCTGATTATTATGAAAAAAATCAGAAACATAAAAATTTTCTTTATCTGGTCGTAATAAATTCTTTTATCTTCAATAGTTCAACAGTAAATATTTTTCTAACCATCTTTTTTTCTCTTCAGAAAACAAAAGAGAAAAAAAACTGATTGTTTTTCATCATTTTCTTTGTTTTGGAATGTGTCGTGAGCTGGAGGTGCTTCACATTATGTGGAATGTGTTACAGTTCTTTTTTACACTGCCGTCGCCGAGAAGTGACCCGTGTTGATAGACTATTGTTTCTAACCATCATTCTCGTGCAGTAAATACACGGCACGATAAAAAATAACATTTAATAAAAATCCTGTCTTGAATTTAATTTTGTTTTTGTATTATTAAAATCGTGATAATTTTTCACGTATTCTAAACAATTGAAACGATAAAAAGATTCTTATTTTGAAATATATATATATTCATTGATATGGTATTAACTTCGATCATGAATTCTTAATACAACGCAACAATAATAAACGAAATATTACTCGTTAAAAAAAATATCTCGAAGTCTATGATAGGGTTTCATATAAATTACCCGTATTTAAATAAAAAATCAGTCACTTCAAAAATGAAGAAAATGCAAGAAACTGTTATGTGATTTTTTTTCTCTTTCTTTGTGTATGACACTCGGCAGATGTTGAATTTGAAAGAAAAGAAAAGTAAATTTTTAATATATTCTATTTCGGTTTTTTATTAGTCTAATAACTAAGTTAAAAATAGTATAACAAATAGAACAAAAACCTTAATTTGTATATTTACAAAAAAAAAATAATCAAAATAGTACATGAACTGCTTTGCATGTAGCTTTAATTTTGAATTAGTTTCTAATAAGAGAGGAAATTTGTGATCTAGATATGCCTTCACAATATAATATTTTCGTTGTCTAAATGGAAGAAGTGATGTTAGACATATTTGAAATTCCATATCTTGGATCATGTAGTATATTTCAACAAATTATTTGTTTTATTCCTTTTAATTTTTTTTTATTACATATTATACAATGTCCTTTTTAAAAGTTCATTGTTGTTTAAATGTACTTTTTCTTTTCTCCAAGGTCAATTCATAAGAGTACGATGTAGATGTAAACAAAGCACAAAGCGTTTGAAGAACGAGAAAAGAAGCGCTACACATTTGCCAAGCATTGTATATATATATATATGTAGTATCAGGTAAAAAGTATAGAAACTGAGGGTTTTTATACTATCTATTCCTAATTTTTATCTTCTTAAATTAGTTTATACACTTACCTACATGAGATTTAAATTAATCTGTTCAAGAGTGAGATGACATTTTTTTCGTTCTCAATTTTACCTGTAAGATCGTGCGCATTTATTAATAATTGTATAGATTTGATTGATCAAAATTATAAAAACATAAGTATTTTAATATTTTCTTTATATCAAAGATAACTCAGTTCGACTTGGAAATTATATAGATAGATAAAAAAAGACTTTTATCAGTGCCTTCTATATGAATTGTTAAGCAAAATACGAGATTTTCCCCTATCTACGAGTATGTTGTCAGAAAGATAAAACTTCAGCAGATCAATAAGGACGATACCCACCCTATTTAGTGAGATTTTTCGCGAGCTTCCCCTCCAAGCAAATCTTAATGATTGCGTTATTGCAGCAATCGTTGTAAGTTGTATATTTTAGCCCCATAGAGACTGCGCTAACAAGCTTTTTCGTAAGTTATTTTCAATCATTAGATTTATATTCAAACCACTAATCAAAAAAAGAAGGCTAGCTGAATTACTCTGGAATAATACGTATTTTAAGAGCTTCTGATACGATTTTCATAGAGAAAAAAATCACGTCTTTGTTTTTGCTTTTAAAAAATTTCTTTTATGACACTCCAGAAAACTTCAAAAATTCTATTGTAATAGACAATAATATATCGATTTTTTCATATGAGCGTTCCTGTGACACATGAGCAGCAAAATGATGTTATATGAATTTTATTACAATGGTGCTAATCTTTATAGTAAACCTCTTTACCGGTGTGCTCACGGCAGCAATCGAGTATTGGGAAAAATTTTATTTTAATCGAAAAAATCTCTAATTCTTGTCTTTATTTTCAGAAATTAAATTGTTACTATATCGTGATTTTATCTTATACAATTGAAGATGTTTCTTAGAATGTTTCTTCATTTTCTTCAGTGTCATTTTACACTTCCAAGATGCAAGCAATATTGTGTATATGGGTTTATTTTAATAACCTTCTTGACCATTATTCAATCACATGCATCTTATTTTATTATAAATAAGAAATCAGGTTATGTACAAATTATAAGAATAGAAATTAATTCAAGTGAGATAATAAAAGAAAATGGAGATAAATTCAAGGTGAATTCGATAGTTGAAGAAAGTCTAGAACTACATAGTAATGAAGAAATCAATTCAAGTTTATTATTGCCATTAATAGATGGAGATCGTTCAATGATACTCAACGATAAATGTAATCATTCATTACATACAACTAAAATGGACATGGGAAAGTTTGCTACTGAACGTTTGGTACGAGCACATCCAGGACTCAATTCAGCTCTTTTTCCTATTCAATCGAAATCTTTAATGTATTGTGCTATTCCAAAGATAGCATCAAAAACTCTTATTTCACTTATAATGTATGTTTATGTTCGTGATATTATTGATATAATCAATAATTCAACAAAGATGGATATGTACGAATTGCGAACACAACAGATTATCAATATTCCTAAACTACTTGAACAACTTAAAAAGGTATGATGATAAATAGATAAAATAACACTATTTTAATTTTTGATTTTAGAAAGGAATTGTAATGGCAGATCCATATCACCCAGTTTCTGCTGTCTCATTACTTCAAACATTTCTTCATATTCTTCGTTTTGAAAAACTCAATGAAACATCTCCGTCATTATTTTTTAATCCATGGAGCATAAGTGTAAAAGATGTATTTCCTGGTATTACTTTTAGAAATTTATTAAATTTATCAAGTGTATTCTCTTCATCATTTACTCGATTTTTATTCGTTCGACATCCATTTGAACGTCTTGCATCGGCTTATAAAGAAAGAATTGCAACACTTCCAAGAGATCGAATTGAACCAGAACCTCATTATGATAATGTTCGCAAAACAATTTGTCGTCGTCTTACACGATTCGGAGTGAATCGACGTTTATCACCAAGACTTGATCCATGTGAAAATTCTATTCCTACATTTCAACATTTTGTTGAATATGTTCTTTCAACTGGTGAAACACCTGCTAAATTAAATCGAATGGATGCTCATTGGCAACCATATACAACAATTTGTCAAGTTTGTAAATTTAAATATAATTTTATTGGTAAATATGAAACATTCAATGATGATCTCGTTTCTTTACTCAAACAATTAAATATACCAGATTGGAATATTCAAAAGCGACGTGGTGCATCAGGTCAAACGACAAATTATTATCAACAACTTTATTCATCATTACCTGATCATATAATTTGTCGACTTAAAAATCTTTACAATGATGATTTAAATTTATTCAATTATCGAATTGAAGATTATGTCAATCGAACTACATTGAATTGTCGACCAGAATCCATAATAACAAAATTATTCGGACGAGGATAAAAAAATTCTATTCTTTTTATTAAAATTGTATATAAAATAAATTATTATGAATAATTAAATTTTTCTACTTATTTATCAAGAAAGCATATCGGTTTTTAACTTTAAGAAAATATTATACATCTATAATTTATCAGGATAGAGAAGGTTCAGTAAACATAAATTGTCTGATTGATTGATTGTATGTCCAAGGGGTCAAAAAAACATCGAAGACCAATTTTCCGGAAAAGACATTTCTCGAGATATTTCGATGCGGAGAGTTCGAATATGAGGTCTGTTGGGTGATCATAGCGAGGGGGAGGGGTGGGTGAAGAGGTAAAAAAACATCAAAACCGATTTTTCACGGTTTTCAATTGTTTTTGAGAGGGGCTTCTATTATGGGGGGATAGTAGTGAAGACACACTATTTCTATGAGAAAGAGCTGAGCCAGTCTCTAGACGAGCGTTACTTGTTCTATTCAATTGTATGTTAGTTGAAAATTAGTAGATATATAAATTGTGTTTCTGACTTTCAATTTCTTCAGATGTTGGATTATTTTTCTGGTTAATAAGTAATTCGAAATCAATGATTAAACACGATTTATCGGTGTGATGATTTCGATATATGAGAAAAAGGTAGTTTCGCAAGTATCATGACGTGTATATATATAAACGTTTTCTAAATTTTTTTAATCTTTAAACTAAAAATTTCCTTAGACAATATGTGTGTTATATTATTTGTTTAGTTCAAGATTTTTACTTAAACATCTATTTCGAAGGATTAAAGAATTTTATTGTGATAAAATAAAATCAAAAGACATAGATGGTGCTTCTTGTTAAGAATTCGTTTATGAAATGTAAAGAAGGGTAAAATATGGATTTTAAAGATATTCTTTTTATTTTATAGATGAAAAAACGATAAATTTATATCTAATCTAAATTTTTAGATTAAAAAAATAAATGTTATTCATTGTTAAAATATTTTAATTATTTATCATGCGTAAATAATGGAAAAAGAAAAATATTATTCAAATAAAAGTAAGACTAAAAGATATTATTTATTAGAAAAAAAAAGAATTATTTTATCTTCTTTTAATTCAAATTAAAACTAATTTCTTATTCTGAAATATGTTTCAGGTAAATCAAGATTCAGAAGGAATTAAACTGAAGAGGAAAAAATATTCTTATGTTTCTATAAATTATAATCGAAATTTTTTGATAAAAAATAATAAAATATGTTTTTAGATGCAGAGATTATTTTTTCGACGATATTTAACAATAAATCATAGTAAAAAAGGATGGCGTCGATATATTGATCAATTGAAAGATCGTCCAGCATCTCATATAACTGCATTTGCTATTCTTCATGAAGTTACAGCTATTCTTCCATTTCCATTAATTTATTTTCCATTAAAATGGTTAAATATTGGACAATATCTACCTATTCCAATTGAATATATTCAAGGTTGATTTTAATATTAATTATTTTAATTTGATAATTATGTTTTTTTTGTATTTGTAGAGGGAAATAAAAAAATAAATCGTGTTCGAACTCGATATGGTTTTGAACCATTAGATGAATCATCAATGGTATTAGTTAATCTTTCAATGACATATGCTATTGTTAAAGTTCTTCTTCCATTACGTATTGGATTAAGTTTAATGTTAACACCGTGGTTAGCTTCAATTATAACTCGTTCATTATCAGGATTGAAACGTTTTAAAACAAAATTTTTTTCATAAAAATTATTGAAAATAAACACTTTTTTAAAAATCATATCACTTGATTAACAAGAGGAACAGATAAACTTGAAGAATTATCAAAACTGAAATTTTTTTAAACAGAATGCTCTCGCAATTATCTCCGAGACTTTTCTTTAAATATCAAACGAATTCTTTTGATATCAGTAGTATTCGTATGCTTATCTTGTATCCGATCATGAATTTATTTTTGTATTTAGATGCGTTTTTTTCTAAATGTTAATTATATTGAGTTTAAGAAACGAATAATTTAATTTCAAGTCGCATAGAGATATGTGCACATAAATTAAATAAAAACATTCAAAGTCTGAGGCACATAGATATTATCCATTAATACTACGGCTTCCACAAGCGTATCGCGATAACGTTTTAGCCACAGTATATTAATTTTTTCTCAGTAAGTACATCATCTAAAAAGTACGTTCTTTTGTCGACAGATGCATCGCTGTGGTATTCTATATCATTGAAAATATGAACTGTTTACTCTTCATTTTCTACTGAAGAAAAAATAATTTGAAATTAGACGTCTTATTTGTTTTTAGTAGAAATTAGATTTATTAAGATAACATAATGACGAAAATCACATTAATGAATTTCATTATTTCCTATGCAGACTTCGTGCGTCATCAATAAATACTGGCCAGATTATTTGAATTTACACTAAGTCTTACAGGATGACATGAACTTGGATTTTTAATCTGACGGTATCGAAGGTTATGCATTATGTGTTTTAACCGACTAGCCATGTGTGTCAGAGTTATGTTACAGTAGGGTAGGTGGACGTTTTATTAGTCTTTCGTCCATACTCACATCCACAATAGATCAGTGTCTTACCCAGCGAGTGAGCGGCGCCTATCCAAAATTTTTATTTCGCCCACCCGGAAAAATAAACGTGGCTGAAACACTGCAATAGATCATATTACAAATAAAATGAGTAATTTATTTTTTTTATTTTGTAGAAAAAAAAATTTATTAGAATCACCGTGATTGTTAGTCGATATATAAATAGTTTGTTCTATAAAGCCGAAAAGTAAATAATTGAAAAATCTAAACATTTTTAATATATTGTTGAAGAAAGTAATTGTAATTAATTGTTCCATCTAATTGTGTATCAATATGTGATGTTAAGATGAAAAATTCTTCATCATTTAAACAACATCCATATTGATGAAGAATATTTTTGAAGATTTTTATAGGAATAGAACCACAATTTAGTTTATCTTGTTGTTTAAATGTTCGTCGTAATTGTGAATATAAATCCGATAACTAGAAACAAAAAAATTTTGTTTTAAATTTAGAAAGTAAAACTAAATTTTTACTTTTCGCCGAAGTTTAATACAAATTTGAGTAAAAATTAATTGATCAGATGCCATACGATATGGATTTTCATTATTGATTGATAATGAATTTTTCGTTGAATAATCAGTTTGATTAATTGATTTTGTATTTGGTGTATAATATTTTAAAAATGAAACATAATTCATTCTTTTGAAAAAATATAAAAAGAAATTCTTTTACGACATAAAAATGTTTTTACCTTGGATCATCAAATGTTTGGAGTTTTGATTTAATTAAATAAAGATCTTCTTGATTAAGTTCTGGACAGAGTTCTAATAAAGTTTCATCAAATTCTTCCGGTTGAACATAACCAGTTCTATATGGATCTAATTCAGCAAACATACGTCGTAATTTATCGCCATTTGTTCGAACCATATTTCGTACATTTCCATGAACAATAATTGATTCACCATAAAGTTTATTTGATGTTAATACAAGATCAGAATCACCTTTTCTTGGTGGACGTTGTCGAGCATTTGGATAATGTGCAGAATGTTTTGAATAACCAAATTGACGTAAAAATTGATAAAAATCTAAAGTTCCATCACGTTTTAAAAGACAACGTTCCCAAATTAAATCGATTTCCGGACGTGTTATTTCAGGTTCAATTGAAAGACTAAAGAAAAAAAGAATTTTTGTTTATTTGAGTTTTTAAAAATAAAAACAAACCGTTTAAGTAAATCATATAATAAATCTTGTGTTAATTCACCATATGAACCACGATCAATATGACGAAATGCATCTTCAACATCTTTATAACGATCTCGTACTAATGTTTTTAATATTTCGCTTAACTTTAAATTAAAAAAAATTTAGATTTTAAATAAAAAAAAATAATTAAATCATACTTCATTGATAGATCGTTTTTTTTCTTGAACATTATTATAATGATTACTTAATTTTTCCCAATGTTTTGGAATTAAATGTTTCGTATTGTTTTTATCTCGAGTACTTGTTGGCACCATAAAATCATATCTTGGAATTCTAAAGTAAAATATTCGATTTCCAGAAAGAAAAAGAAAAATTTCAATTATACTTTGGTTTATGTAATTGTTTTTCTTCTGGGTAATGAGATGCGCGATCTGCAACTTGTTTTAAATAATCATTGTATCTAACTTTTCCATCTTGATCCATTGGAATATTTTTAAGTAATTGATGATATTCATCAGGTTTTAATGTATAATCAATTAAATCTTCAATAATTGTTCGAATTGTATTAATAGAAACTAATTCACTATGAGATGGATCAGCACGTTTTAATACATCTTGAATTCGTTCAGAATTCTTTGTTAATGCTTGATCAATTTTTCGTTCTAATGCTGTTTGACGATCATCTTCAATATATCTAAAATCATTTTAAAAAAATTTATTTAAACATTAAAATAAAATTGAACATACACTGGATTATCAGCATTAATTCTTTTTTTTGTTGGATCGGTACTTTGTTTAAAAGCATTAATGACTTCCTGATAAGGTATTCCATCATTTGTTAATGCTAAATCAACATTTAATCGTTTTAAAAAGAATTCTAACAACGGTGTTTCTAGATTTAAACCAAATCGTTTTAATTGTTCAAGAAATCGTTCACGTGGTAACTAAAATTTTGTTATTTAAGAAAAAAAAGTCATTTTCTTTTCAAAAAAATAATTTACAGTTCCTGATTGTTTTGGATCTAAAGATTCAAGTGCACGTTCAAGTTCAGAAAAACCATGAGGAAATTTATAATTAAGCCATTTTTGAACTTGATTTTCATCTAATCTACCTCGTGTACCTAAATTCTACAATGAAATATTATGATAAATAATAATATTATTTACTATGGAAAACAGGTGTTCTTAAATCCCTATCACTTCGAGACGATTGAACATTTCTCATTCGAGGTGAATGGCATTTTACCATACAATATTCTCGATTTGTATTTGATATTTCATCTTCTTCATCTTCTTCTTCTTTTTTTTCAGTTACATCGTTGCAAAAAGCTTTTAAGAATCTTTCCGATGTAACTGCATTCTGTTCATTTGTTTCAAATCTTTTTCGAAAAACAAAAATAAAATTTATATAAAAAAACAACAAGGAACTAACCTGTCCCATAATTTATCAAATTCAGCATCAGTTATTCGATAACCCATATCATTAATAGCATCACGTAAATAAACTTTAAATATTCGTGAAGATGGTCCACCAGCTATTGAAGGACATAGATTAATTACATCTTTATCTCTATTATAAATTGTAAATTGAATATTAAATTTAGAAAATAAAATCTTACTTTGTTTGAATTTTTTCTTTTAAAATAAGAAACATTTGTGTTGCTGTTTTTTTTGATGATTTTTCTGATTTTCCTGACATTTGTCTTGTTACCCAATTAGGAAGATCTTGACCAGTTGATACTGATAGAATAAAGTCATCAAAACTGTTTTTTTGTTAATTAAAAAATAGAAATAATATTGGAATATTAAAAAAACGAAATATATTATTCTAACCTAATTTTATTAAATCGTTTAAGATTAAGTCGTTCTAATAATTTATCAATTTGAATTGGTGCAACTTGTTTTTGTGTACCAAAAATTGTCGAAATAAAATGTTGTAAAGCTTGACGATCAATTTTTCCATTTGGATCATTGTGTGCTGCATGACGAAATTTTGTTCGAACATTATGAAATTGAGAACGAACTTTTTCTCTTAATGTTACTTCAAGTTCATCAATAATAAGTCGAGATGTTTGTGGAGTTTGAGATTTTCTTGAACTACTACAAGATGATGCTCTAGTTTCTGCTCGACGACCTTTAAAATTATTTAATTTTATAAAATCTTTTAATTTATTTATTTGTTTTCTTACCAAAAATAGGTAAACGAACTTTATCTCGATCTTCTCCGTAGACTACATTGACATTTTCTGGAATATCAGGTATATAATCCGAAAAATTTGAAGATTTTGAATCAAATTGTCCATCTGCTGAATTACCTTGAACATCTAATGAAGTTCTATAACTATCAATCATTCGTTGTGATGGATGTTCAATTGTTGGTAATGCCATTTTCTTATTTGGTGATAATTGTCTTCGATTATTATATCCGACGTGTGGTGTTGGAGACACCACTGACATTGTTACGTTTTATTTTTACACCACCGCGACAATGATAAAAACGACTGTTTTATTGTTGTTACTAATGAAACTAAAAACTTCTATGTTTTTTATATAAACTAAAGTAAGTAAATATGGTAGCAACGCTTTTCTTTTTCTCTCTCTTTGTCGTCTCAATAAGCAGATAGAAAACTTAAAGTAATCGATCATTTTTTTAAATGTTTACCATCGCTTTGAATAGCAAACATTTAGACGTAAAATAAAAAAAGAAAAAAAAATAGAAATCGAATGAATTTAAGTATTTATCAACCTTGATTCCACTTGGATTCTAACAAAAGGAAATTAACGAATATCTACTTTATTATGAACTTGACAAAAAAAAGAATTTATTTTATATTCTTTTATGATCATATATATACATATATATACAATATTATTCTAAATCATAGTAAATAAATAAACACTTTATTATCGTCTACACTTAAAGTTTTATCTATGACAACTTTGTTTCTTTTTTTTTTGTTTAATGTACATTGACTTTTTTTGTACAAAAAGAACATTTAAACACGTCACCAAAGAAATGTTATTATTCGAAAGGAATGTAATTAGAAAAGAGTTATAGACATTTTGATTTTGAGTTAATCAACTACCTATGCAATAGTTGAAAATATTAAATGAAAAGAAATTCTGTGGTTATAAGTTGATATATAATAATAGAATCTCGTTCTTCTCGGTATTTTATCAGTGATCAATAGCTATTACAGTTATTTTTAGAAAGTATTATTATATTCAAGTATCTGTAAATTAAAAATAAATATTAATGTGCATCTCTTAATCAATTCTTTTTGAAAAATTAGTTGTACTTTGTTTTTAATAATTTTGATATAGGAATTTTTGTTTGGTTCTTTTATTAAAATTAGATGTTCATTTTCTGCATATTACTTTTGTATCTATTATAAAAAGAGAATATGTGCTGATATGATAATGTGAAAATTTGATATATATAGAAGAGAAATAAAAGAAGAGAAAATTGGATCACTGCATATGTGTGTATATAATGGTAGATTGAAAACTAAATAATATATATATATATATGTTATAGGCAAAAATAGAATTCAGGCAAAATTGGAATTCTAATTTTGCCTAGTGAAAATTTTCAGTCAGATGTAGAATTTGTCTAGACACAATTAAAACATTCCAATTTTGCATGGGCAGTTTCGACATCTGGTTGAATTCTAATTTCGTGCATAACATACGTATGACAAGAATGGAAAAGTCCATCACATATATTATAAAGGAAAACACCAAGAACGACAAAAGAGAAAAAAACAGTATATGAGAGAGAGAAGGAGAACACATCACTATCTAACACTTATATTTTTTTTTTATTTAGTCATTCTGATAATCTCATATACGTATATATGCAACGCAAGGCAATATCTTGATTATTATATACGTTTCAGATTTACTAGATTATTCTATCAAAGCATGTCATGGCTTTCGGTGATTCCTGTAGGAGCTCAGGCTGTTGGAATATTACTCAATGCAGTTGGTCTTGGTAAAGAATCAAGTAAGTCAATCGATTCATGTTATTTCGAATAATATTCTTAAGACAATTTCAATTATATAAAACTGTATACTTTATTTTATTTCAATTGTTTGATAGAATAAAATTTGATATGAGATATATTTAAATTATTCTTCCGGGGGGCAAAATTCAAACATTGATAAAGATTTTGAATAATCATTTGTCAAAAAGGTATTGAGCTTTCATTTTATTTAGAGCCATCGATTGACGAAAAGTGTATGCGATTGCTTGAAAACGAACAACGCGCGCGGCTTGCAGAATTAGATAATAAAAAGTTAATAGAAGAAATGCAAAGAAAGGAAGAAGCTCAAAAAGAAAAAGATCGTGAAGCAGATGCTCAATATAAAAAATTACATGAACGAATGGTGGAATTATTAGAAAAGCTAGAGAAAAAGAAATTAACATCTTTCGACGCTATTGCAGATAATGATAAAGAAGCAAAAGGAGCAATTAGTAAATTAGCAAAAGAAGCTAAACCACTTGGATTGGAAGGTAATAATATTGCGCTTTTTGGTGTAACATCTGCTGGAAAATCAACAATGCTTAATAAACTCTATGGAAAGAAAGTAGCTGAAACAGGAATTGGTGAAACCACTCTTGAAATACAATCTTATGCAGCCAAAGGTTTTACTCTTTGGGATATTCCTGGTAAAAATGATGAAGTATCATATATGAGTATGCAATATATGTCATTTTTCAAAGGATTAACACATCGCATTATTCTTGTTACATATACAGTTAAAGAAAATTCAAGTATGATGAAATTATTAGATGCAATTGGATTAGATTATGATATTGTTGTTAATAAAATGGATCAAATTGATGATGAAGAAGAACCAAGATTTCGGGAAGAAATTCAGAAAGAAGTACAAAGACTTGGATTGAAAGGTATAGGTCGTATTTTTTATGTTAGTGCCAAATTTCCAGCACAATTTCCTGATTGGCTTGCGATGGTTGATTATTTAACAAATCCTCGAAAATAAGAAGATTTATATTATTTTAAGATGAACTTTCATTTTTTTATATTTTTAAAGTTTTTGTCTAATCTACTTTGTCACCTGTGATTTTAATACTCATATTGTTCATTTTCTAATAAAATTTTAGTAACCACGATCTATTAATTTTTAAAAGTAATTCACAAAGAGAAACAAACTAATAATAAACTTGTTGGTATTGGTTGAATACTTGTCATGTCTGTCTCACGCAAGGTTTCAAATGACAGAATGCATGTGGGTGCGGGTATCATATCATTTTCCCAACGACACCCCTACCCTATAATTCTATAACAAAAAAAAGAATTTTTAAATAAACTTGGTTAGTTACTTAATTTGACTTAAAAAAATAGGATTGAGTATATTTATTAATTATTATTTTTTATAAAAGCAAGAAAATATCTTTTATATCAAGTTATAATAAATGATTACATAAAATTGAAATTATATTAAATCTAAAAATATTTGTAGCTGAACAAATCATATTCGATGATCGAATTAATCATATGATATATACGATGGTTTACATGCATCTGAACATCCTATACTAACATATGTTAGCACTATTAATATATCTAAATATATTAATGAATAATTACAACGATATGACTAAATATTTACTATTAATCGTAAGAATATATATAAATAAACTAGTACCATGCATTTCCTTTGTCTTTCTGTTACAGTAGAGTAAATAGATTTTTTTTTAAAGTTTATTTACATTCAATGGGAGAGAGAGCATCATAAAAACTTCATTCTTAACATACATCTGTTCTTTTGTATACAAATGTGAACCATTTTGATATAAGTGTAATACATAGATAAGCGGCCTCTTTCGTTTGTTATTCTTTACTGGTTATACAAAATCAATCGATTGAAAATTTTCATTATTTTATTTAAACAATAGAAAAATTCATTTTACTTTATATAGAAATCTATATTCAATATTTAGTTTATTCTAGAAAATATACTCCCATGCAATTCTTCGTTGTTATATTATCTATAGGAATAATTAGTCAATGTATAAATGGATGTCCTAATGATGTAAATTCAATTAATTGTTTTTATTTATAAATTTTATTTGATTTGTTTAGCTAAAATTTCCATTAAAATCTATTCCAATTCAAATCGGATCAGTTCCATGTCCAGGTTAAAATAATATTATTTCAATAAATAATTTCTTTCTGTTTTTTTTAAATAGATGGACAAAGGTAAATGAATTAATATATTGAAGAAAGTTTAATAAATATTTATCTAGTTCCTGTCCTGATGGTGAATCATGTTGTCTATTATCATCAGGTCAATATGGTTGTTGTCCTATTCGTAAGTTCTTTTAAATAATTATTTTATTTTGTTTATTTTATTTTTCTATAATTAATAGCTGATGCTGTTTGTTGTAGTGAGTATTAACAAGAATTTAATTATAGAATTTTTATGAAAAAAAAACTAAATATTAGATGATCATCTTCATTGTTGTCCAACTGGTTATACATGTGATGTTGAACATTCCAGATGTCAAAAAGGATTTGAAAAATCTTATAGTATTGTATGTCCTGGTGGTATGAGAAGATTACTTTTTTTTTATTATTATTATTTATTAAATTAATTTTAGGCGATATGTCCTGTTCTGATGGTTTGATTTATTCGATTCCAAAAAAATAAAAAAAATAAATTTTTATTTCAGGTGAAACATGTTGTGAATTACAATCCGGTGATTTTGGTTGTTGTCCATTACGTAAGTCTCTTCAAATTAAAATAATAATATTCTATTTTTATATCTTAAAAATTCTAGCTGATGCTGTTTGTTGTAGTAAGTTATTATCAAAAAAAAAGAAAGAAATTTAACTTAGAAATCGGATGTATATAAAAGGTGATCATAGTCATTGTTGTCCACATGGATATACATGTAATATTGAACAAAATAAATGTGATAAAGGTATATCAATTCCATGGTTTACAAAAAAAGAAGCTCAACCTATAAATAAAACTTTAACAAAATTATCTATTTCAACAATTCAATGTCCTGGTTTGTTTTTATTAAAAACAAAAATTTTAAAATTCTTTTTTTTGTTTTAATTTCAAGATGAAAAATCTTTTTGTCCAGAAGAAACAACTTGTTGTGAATTAACTGATGGTTCATATGGATGTTGCCCATATCCTCAAGCATCTTGTTGTTCTGATAAAGTTTGTTAAATAAATATATTTTCATTTGTTTTATTTGAAAATTAATTAGATGCATTGTTGTGGAGAAGGATATTCATGTGATGATTCAGGTTCAAGATGTATTCGACATTTATCTTCAATTATTAATTCAATCGAAATAAAATCATCATTAATTCCATTAACTAATATTCCACAACAAACATGTCCAGATGGAAAAACAAAATGTTCTTTAACTTCAACATGCTGTCCAAATAAAGATAATAATAATAAAAATAGTTATTCATGTTGTGCTTATTCAAATGTAAGATTTTGTTTTTGGTCGATTTTCAGAGATCGAAAACCAATCGAGATGAAATTCTAGCACAGATAGAAGACCTAAAATGATCAAACACGTGTCCATCTTGAGGGTTGGTGTGGGTAAATAAAAGCGGAATCCACACCCACACCAACCCTGGCGCTTTGAACAAAAAAAAACGTTTTTTGGGGCGAGATTTTTTCGTGTATGTTTAGTAGTAATTGAACGGCAGGTCCGATCGAAATACTAGCAGAGGATCTATCGATGACACATATAAACAAAAAGAATTTAAATTTAGGGTGTATGTTGTGGTTCAGATGGTTCAATTTGTTGTCCATATAAATATATTTGTGATGAAAATCATTTAACTTGTCAATTAAATCAAACAATTTCAATAGAAAATAAATGTGGATCAACAGATTTAGCTTGTCCAGATAATCAAACTTGTTGTAAAATTTCTCAATCAAATTCTGATCAATATGCTTGTTGTACTTTTCCTAATGTAAAGTTTTGTTTAATGATATTTTTATTTTCGAATAATAATTTTTTCTAGGGTGTATGTTGTGATGATGGTCGACATTGTTGTCCACAAGGAACAAAATGTGATAATAAATCTGGTGGATGTATTAAACATTAGAAACATTTACATTTTCTTTTCTCTCAAATAAACTTCTTAGAATATAATCATGTTTTCAATTATTATGAATGATTAAAAGAACAACATGAATCATAAATGATGATTCATCGGAGAAGAAAAATATTTTGTGTTTTTTTTCTTCTAAATAAAAAAATTCATTTGCGAAATGTCATCGACAAGTAAAAGTTGGATAGTTGTTTGTATAAGTGATACACATCAACGTCACCGTCAATTAACAGATCGATTAAAATCTTCTCATAATGGTGATATATTAATACATGCTGGTGATATAACTAATTTCAGTCGTGGAATAAAACCACTTGATGATTTTGATCAATGGTTAAATGAACTTCCATTTAAACATAAATTAATTATTGGAGGAAATCATGAAACTATTTCAAATGTAACTCTTAATCATGGAAGAGTTTTACAAAATGAACAAATTATTATTGATGATTGTCTTCGTATCTTTGGTTCAAAATGGCGTCCAGTAGGAGATTCAGCATGGTCCGATATTCCATTAAATTCACATATTACAATAACACATAATCCACCATTTTCATCGAATGGAGAAGATGTTGATTTAGAATATAATTTAACAAAAAGATTAGAAAAACTAAATAGACCTTTACTTTCAATTTTTGGTCATATACATAGTGATTATGGAGTTTATAGACAATCGAATGGAATTATATTTGCAAATGCAGCATGTTCACCACGTTCTCAATCACAACCATTGAATGATCCATTAAGATTTAAAATTTCGATCGATGAAAATCAAATATTATCTATTGAACATCTTATTTAAGTCTTCTTTATAAAATCGAACGATAAAATGATTATCAGACATTTATAATCAAATAAAATAAATTTATAAACTATAAAATGTTTTAGAAAAAGAGGGTGGGGGTGCGTGTAGGTAACGGCGATGCCAGGAATTTAGACTAGGGTGGGCTCGGGCCTAATAAATTTAGGCTAGGGTGGGCTGAGCCCACCTTTGGCGGCGCCACTAGGTATAGGTGCAAGTTTTTTGTCTACTTTCACCCTCACCTCACCCACAGCAACCCATTTATCTTATTTTTTTGTATGCGTAGATATGTTTATTATTGATTAATATTTATTTCATTTATACATATCATTCTTTTTCAACTACATATATTTTACAGCAATAGTCAAGAGAGTCTAATACTGAACAATATTCAAGACTATAAATTAATATTGTTTGTTCAGTTCAATTTCGATTGAAATTAAAATAATGAAAGAATTGTTGTTTTAAATATTTTCGAAGTTCATAATTATAGATAAATAAATCTATTGTATTTACGATTGAACTTAAAACAGGTGGAAATTGTAGCAATAAATAAATTACTACTGGTACGTGTTGTTCGAAATCAACTGCTGAAAGAATATAGAGAGGTGCCCATCCAACAATAAACATGGTGGAAAGGAAAAACATGTGTTTGAGTATATGTATATCACGAGTACGCTTTTGATGATTGATAATAATGTTCTTATTGGATAATGTGACTGTTTTTATAGGACGAACACGGAGCGTCGAAGCTCGCACAGAGAAAAAAATGATTAAATTGAAGATGATAAAGAGAATCGAAGGAATTATGACAATAATCAATAAAATATATGAATAATTCCAATCAGGTGCTGGTTTATGATATGCACATGCCTAAAAATAAATTCTTCTTCTAAATAAACCCCCCCCCCCATAATAAAAGACCCTCTCGTATTAAAAGACCCCCCCATAATAGAAGACCCCTTTGGAGCAAAAATCGAAAAAATCCCCCTACCCCTGTAGGGGGATTTTTCCACAAAAAAAGCGCGATGTGCGAAACATAATAGAAGACCAGGGGGTCTTTTATTATGGGGGGGGGGGGGGGGGGGT